TACGTCTGCTCAGAACCTGGGGCCTCATTTATAAAATGTTGCGTATAAACCGTCCTAAATTTGTTCTAAGATAATTTCTCAAAAGTAAGTGCGATTCAGAGAAAACGAGTGTCTCTCTTCCAGATGTGACATTTATAAATCACAAATGATCTTGAAATTGTGCGCAGCTGACTGGTGTCAGATCTCCGCCTTGTAAATGCCCCCTAATTAATATCATTACTATATAAAAGAGCACACGCCAATATCCAACTTTCTATGCCTGAGAATGATGAGCACAAAGAAAAAAAAAACTTTACCGAGTCTGAAATTGAGGTCCTGCTGGCGGAGGTAAAGGTTCCTGCGGTACGCTTTCTATTTAATAATGTGTAATTATTCTGTGAACAAATGTGTGTGTGTGGTTATATTTTTTCTATCGACTATTATCAAAATGACTACTTCTAGAAACAACACAAATAATAATAATTGTAGTAATAGTAGTAATTATAAAACAATTAGGTTTCCAAAAGTAAGAATAAACTACGAATTCAGTCATCTTATAAAAAGTGAGCCATCCTACTTGTAAAATCACTTGCTATGACAACTAATAAAAAGTTTATCACGACATTCTTGCAAAACTTTAAAAAACATTTATTGTAAGAAAAATTGGACGTTTCATATCATAATAAAATTAATGATTACACGATTATGGTCTCCGGTCTGAAAAAACCTGCATGTGATTTGGCATTTCTTTATATTTACACAGTTTACTAATGCTGCTCAAATGTGCCATTAATGTACTGACACACAAATATATAGTATTAGAACTGCCTTCAACTAAGGATTTTTCTGGTAGACTAGTAGTTGTTCATTTTAAGCATTAGTCGACTAATCGCATGTTTATTAATAAACCATTTAAATCATTATATTGAGCCTTTAATTGCCTACATAGCCATCACAAGTGCTCAAGCACACGCATAAAGCTTGCCACAGCGCACCGGCAGAAGCTATGATTATGAATGTGTCAAGGAAAAACAGAAAGGAGGCTGCATTAACATTTTAATAATTCACTGATAAACAAGTGCTTTCTTTGTTTTGGTTTAAGAGATGAACTCGGCGACACCGACTCGTCATCTCCGCAGTAGTGAAGCGCCTGTGTGCATGTTTCACACGGATTACATAATCTGAGAATATCTGTTTTGCATTTGAATTGGTTAATTTGAAAGTAGACATTTTCACTCTCTATAGATATATTTCTAATGTATGTAAGGCAAAGATATAGCCTACATGGAGTTTCTCGCTCGAGTTCACAGAGACCGAGACGGCAGAAAGCGCATCCTGTTTGCTTTCATTATTTTACAAAAGCACAATGTTTTGTTGTTATTGTGAGTGCACACAAATAAACATAGTCTTTACAGATTTGAAAGATGTATTACTCTTATCTGTATGAGCAAACATTACGGAGTAGCCTATTTTAAGGCAAGTGAGCGGACCGGCGCCTCCATCTGTCCTACAGTGATCTACTGTTCAGCTTCCACACAGACACTTGAACAGCGCACATTTCTCTAGGTTAACATTACATTGAGCCGTCATGTAAAGTTGCTAATACTTACATATTTCAGATGATAAGCCATATTTGTGGTGGATGATTGATAGGCGAGCGTTTGGATGTCCTGCCTGATGTACTGTATTACCATAAATCAGCGATCTACGTGACTTTGTCAATGTGTTTTTTTTTCTGCGACTAAACAATTTTGGTCGACCAAGCCTCTTCTGGTCGACTAACGATTAGTCGACTATTAGGGGGCAGCCCTAATATAGAGTGTATTTTATACAAGTATAACTGATGTAAATGACAGTATGACTTTGTAAAAAACAAAGTTTAAGGCTGATGTCTCTATTAATTTTCACAGAAGCAAAGCAGCAGATATTATAAATAAAAACAGTTAACAATGTTGTTGAATAGAATATATTAAAACCGTTATTGCATGACATAGGCCTATTCTTTTTTTTCTATTTTACGCATTAGTAGTAAATCAAGACTTCGCAAGCTCTCTTGTAAAATACAATTTAAAAAAACAAACATGGAGTAAACTGTGTACAGAAAGCGAGTAAAGAACTCTCAATATTAGGCTACTAAAAAGATCAGTTTAATCTCGCAAAAACTCCTGTTAATAAAAAATCGGACTACACTGCATTAATCTCTTACACTGCATCTTTGTTGTTTATGATGAATTCGGTGCTTTTATTATTATTGCAGCTTAGATGTTAAATAGCTGCAGTACTCCGGCTTTGCCACAAGGAGAAGTGCGTACGCCTGCTCAGACCCTGATGTGACGGTAAGCACTTTTCCACGCAAAGACTGTGTTTATAAATATGAACGTTCCCATGGCTTTAAGCGTACGCACACTCTGAGATCAAATTTGTGCGTATGCATGCTTTATAAAATCTGTGTGAGCCTTGTGATGGACTGACCATCCATCCAGGGAATTTCCCTAGGCGTCATTTTTATTGAAATTCTCTTTCTTTGATACAGCATGAGGTGAAAATGTTTACTTCAGCACAATCAATGGCACAGTTTAACTCCATGCGGCTCAACTTACCCTCTCCCTAGGCTCAACTTAACCCTCAATGGGGGCAAGTTGAGCCAAGAGACCACTTCTCAGCCTGTGATGGAGAGAGGCCCATGGGATAACTGGTAACTACATTTAGTTTCAAAGAGATTTTTGTAAGCTCAATTTACCCCGCACTGGGGGGCAAGTTAAGCCAAGAGACCACTTTTTTTTTTTTGGAAACCCATATTTTGAAAGCAGTTTATTTTAGATCCAAAGTGATTATTCCCAAGGATGCACCACAACCTGAAATGTATGTACATATTGAAGTTGGACCCGTTGTTGTCATGTGCTCGCTTTAAACACACCTTAAGTAAAAACTGGCTCAACTCACCCCGCTCTCCCCTATTTGTCCATTCAAGCTCCGAGAGAAGCGAGTGAACACGCTTCGGGGTCCGAGCATTGTTAGACTCAGAGGTGGACAAAGTACTCAAAAATCAGACAATATTGTGTCTAATATATACCACAATATTAACTTCTTATTATTGAATTGTTATAAATAAATATCACATTTGCAGCTGGTCAGTGTTCAAAGAATGCTGGGAAATCACTTCATGTAGTCCCACAAGAGTGATTACTGATAAACTGTCTGAAAAAAAGAAAGCCATGTTTTAGAGAAGAAAGAAATCACCCACTGACTTTCAAGGCTGCTACATAGTAACGACTTTCTACTTCGAGGACCTTGATAGAAATGTAGTGGAGTGAAAAGTACAATATTTGTATTTCAAATGTAGTGAAGTTAAAGTCATAAGTTCCCAGAATACTCAAGTAAAGTACAGATACTCAAAAAGTGTACTTAAGTACAATACTCAAGTAAATGTACTTAGTTACTGTCCGCCTCTGGTTAGACTCGACGCGGCTCTCAGTGACACACAGCTTTGAAAAAAGCGTGTGTGCGCCTCTCTTCCAGATGTGAGATCTGTAAATAGTGTGCAGCTGAATAGTTTCAGATCTCCGCCTTGTAAACGCCCCCTAATTAATATTATTAACATATAATAGAGCACCAGTCAATGACTAAATCCTTTACTTGAGAATGAGGAGCGGCAGAATTGCTTAGAGTTCCAAATACTTGCAGTGCTCTGATTCTGCCACAAGGAGAAGTGTGTACGTCTGCTTAGACCCTGATGTGCTGCTAAGCACTTTTACACATCAAAGAAGTTTTTATAAATCTGAACTCTGGCGTGGATTTTAGCAGACGTACACTCTGAGATCAAATCTGTGCGTACGCATGTTTTATAAATGAGGCCCCAGTACTCTGTATTACACACCCATACTGAACTCAACTATATGACGAAAAACAAAGAATAAGAACAGGAAATACAATTAATCCAATAATAAAAAGAGAGAATGAAAATATTTTATTTTTTGTTAAATATAGAATAGCTGAAATTGACAATCAGGATAACAACCATGCAATTATTTATCTTATGCTTTAATCCATACAGAGTTTGACATTACATTCATTAGTTTTTCTCCTTGAGTAACCTGAGCTTCAGTGTGTTGATCTTCATGGATCACGCTTCGCAGGGTTCAGTCGGTCTCTCTCACGTATGCAAACAAAAACCCTTGTGTTTATTACTATTACTTATTGAGATGTTTTTCACTTATTTTAACAATGTATTTGAGGCATTTCATTGTCGAATCTTTAACATCATATGATCGAGTCAGATGTGACCACAGCAATCCAGAGTGATTTAGTAATCAATTCCACACAGAAAGAGTTCATGAAAAGTGAAAGTGCAGAAACTCTTTAAATACTCGACAGACCGAGAGACAGGAAGTACAGAGATGATGATGATGTCATCAGTGCAGCAGCTGCAGCGTCGTCATGGTAACAGCCAATAGGAGCAGCTGCAGACAGACAGGTGACCAGACTCTGGATCCAGCAGCTGCAGAGACACACACAGATGTTGAGATGTGAGCTCTGTATCAGCAGATGAACATTTACAGAAGAGCAGTGGACTCAGTGGAACAGGACAAACTCAGGACTGACAGAAATCAAGTGAATTCACAGCCGATTTCAACACCTACAGGATTTGTCTCAGTCTCTTTTTCTCTAGCAGTGGTTTTATTTGTTCAAACCTATTATAAATTAAAGACTTGAAAACTTTAATTTTTAAAATAAAAGCAGAACATATAAAATAAAATCTAATTCAAAATATTCACAAAAATGATAATAGTATAATAAAAAATAACACTGCTTTATAATAGAAATGGATTTGAACTGAATTTGAAGGCTGAACTGTTGTGTGCTCTATGATTGTGTTCCTGTTAGCATTTTGATGAAAGCTGACTGTTTACTGCTTGCTATTGCTAGTGTGTGTTGATGACCAGCATCATGTATGAGGAATAGAATGGTTTGTTCATGTTCTATAGAGAGGAAGATTTGACGGTGTCTCCTCTGATGATCTCTCAGAAGCACAGTGTGTCTCTGGTACCTGTGGTGGCGGCGGTGCCGGTCTGGGCTGACGGTGCTTTAGTGCTGCTGCTAGCTGTAGTGGTGGTGCTGACGGTGGTTTCTGTGACGCTGGAGTTCCTGCCCCCCGTCAGACCGATCTGCAGCGTGTCCAGATCCACCTGCAGCTGAAGCCTGATCCACTCCTGTATCTGTGCTGCGCTTTCATACGTCTTCAGATCGGCCACATTCACACCCAGCAGACTCTTCACCTCAGACACGATCAGCACCTGCACACACACACACACACAGCAGCATCAGGATTACAAATGAGGCCGAGCAGACGATGAGCTGAAGAGAAAAACCCACACAGCCACGAACACCACTGAAACAGATTGAGTTCTGTTCTCACATGTGTAAATGTACAATTGAGCAGCCCTATTGATCTGTTTTAATTGTGCCTTCAATTCAATTTCTTATCAGCTTTTCATCATCAGACATGAATGACTGACAGGAGACTCACGTTGATGACGCTCTGCTTCAGACTCATGAATGTGAGCACGTCCATATTCACACTGGAGTTCACAAGAGTACGAATGAACGTCACATCAGCACCGCCTGCAGACACACACACACACACACAGAAGATCAGCCTGACAGCAGCAGTGTGATGTATGTATGTGTGTGAGCGTGAATCAATGTGTGTGTGTGTGTGTGTGTGTGTGAGACCGTGAATCAGTGTGTGTGTGTGTGTTGTTACCGAGGTAGTTCTGCAGCAGCTGGTATGTTGTGATGCTGATGGGGTTTGTACTGCGTGTGTTTGTTGCGTTGAACACGTTCTGAGCGATACTGAACAGAATCGACTTCTTCTCTGAGCTGCAGCTGGTCAGAGAGAGAGCAGAAGCTCGCCTGCAAACACACACACACACACACGTTTAGTTACTAAATCTTAAAAAAACACACAAACACAAACTCATCTAAATGGAGACATTGCACTGACTTCTACTGTTCCCATATAGAGCTAGTTATACTGTAAATATTATAACCTAACCCTGACAGAAAACCTGCATTGTTTTTTTAAATAAAACTTAAAAAAATAAAAAATGTATTTACTTTTTGAGAGGTTCTGTCCAATTTAATTCACTTATGGGTACAAATTAGTTACCAAAATATGGTTAAATAAGCACAAACACACACTCAGACTATGAAAGAAAAATAAAAGACAAATGTCTTTGAAACAAAAAAGCATGTTGAGTTGCATTAACTGAAAGAGTAATGCATTGCATTTACAGTGCTTGCATTTTAAGACCTTTTAATGCCTATTTTAAGGATTTGCATTTTTATGGGCTGAAATCCAACATGGCTGTATATTTAAGCTGTGAATATTTGAATTCAAAACATTTCAAACGCATTTTCATCATCATCAATAATCCATATTCACCTTCCAGAGTTCACGAACAAAATATTCAATCAGTTTAAAAATACGATGTATAATATTCAACAGGCAATTTTCGGTCCATGATTGTAAAGCGCTTTGGGTGTACAGCAATACACAATAAAGCATTATATATAAAAACATCATTCATTCATTCATTCATTTTATTTCACTTTACAAATTCGCTTCCACAAATTCAGCGGCTCAAATTCAGCATTGCACATCCGGGAGCTGTAGGAATAGCAGTAGAGTAGCAATGCATGATCTCCAGCTGCTGTCAGTCGCTCTCCTGCAGGTGGCACAAGCGTGTTGATGAAGACCAAAGCAACAGGTAGAGCAAGGCATTCATTCACAAAAACTGATTTGCAGCAATTGAGCAAGTAGAACTTATTATCAGGGCCGGTATGTAAATTCAGAAAAGCTGATTGTGTTTACGTTTAATTCAGCATTTTCGCTGTGACTCGTTTCCCTGTGTAGCCACATGTAAGCAGCTTTTACTACCGCAAATGAGACGCTAATGTACAGAACTAACATTATATCTGAGGAAGACATATAGTCCAGGTGATATGTACAAAATTTGAGGTGACATGTTCGCTTTTCCATAAAAGCATGAAACTTGGTACAATTGTACAGGTTAGGGCCTTGAACATTGTGTGTGTGTGTGTGTGTTTGTGTGTGTGTTAGTGTGTGTGTTAGAGTGAGTGTGTGTGTGCGTGCGTGCATGCGTGCGTGTGTGTGAGTGAGTGAGTGAGTGAGTGTGTGTGTGTGTGTGTGTGTGAGTGAGTGAGTGAGTCTGTGTGTGAGTGAGTGTGTGAGTGAGTTTAAATAATATTTGCCAGCGTACAGGACTGCAGCTCTCTTCGCAGGGACCTGGCGAAGCGGTAGCGGCTCTTAATGAGAACATAATAACAGACCCGCATATCTCTACTCTAGCGGTACTCAATACAGAATCTACACCTCGTCAACTATCGACCAATAATGTAAGAGTCTCACTTCTTTCACCTCAGAAAAACCCAAAATGCCCAGCACTGGATGGGCTTGAAACTACAGGGCAAATTAGCACTTCTCCAATCGGCTGACCACTCAGTATCCCACTCTGTTCTGACAAACTTTTCAATTTCAGAGGATATTCTCATTTTTATGATTAAAGCTCGACTACAATGTCTCCCAACTGTATACAATCTGTCAATATGATACCCGTCAAATTACAACTCCTACTGTCTGTTACATCAAAATCAACAGGAAACAGCTGCCCACATCTTAAATGGATGTTGTTGCTACAAAGGACTGTATGTGTCCAGACACGATCGCCTGGTTGATCTGATGTAATGAACTTGAAAACAATACATAAAGACAGTAAGTTTTACCAGCATACTACTGTTGAATTGAACTGGTTTTATGACAACACGTCTGACAGTGACTATTTCAAAAACATTCCAAACACTCCGGACATTGTGGTTGTAAACGAGGCTCTAAACTCTGTATTTGTCATTGAGGTTGGCTGTTGTTTTGATCTGTATTTTGATACCTGCTATCTTTCCAAACTGCTGAAATATCAGCCATTGGTTGAAGCCATCTATCAACTTGACTATCATTGTAAGTTAATCACCCTAGCACTTGGAAGTTTAGGCCATTTGCATAAGAATGTGATTAGAGGGTTGCAGTTGAGGGGGACTGCAAAAAAAGAAAGCAAAAAGACTTAAGCAAAAATTCTGTTCAGTTTCAGCCATTATAGGGAGCATGCAAATATGGAAATGAAGATGTTTTGTCTATCCTTGAGTGTTAAATGTTATAATTATAAAGACTTGTGAATGTATGTGAGCCATGTGTACCTGTCATCTTGCAAAATGACTTCTCATGGTATTTGGATTCCATTTTTTTGCTTGTCTTTTGGATCCAAATAAAATAATGAAGTGTGTGTGTGTGTGTGTGTGTGTGTGTGTGTGTTTGTGTGTGTGTGTGTGTGTGTGTGATTGTGTGTGTGTGTACTCACTCCACGCTGGCGGCTGTGATGTTGTTCAGCACACTGGTGTTCAGCGCACACAGGTTCGTTCCTCCCAGAGCGTTCAGCTCGTTGCTGCCGAGAGTGTTTCCATTCACACTCAGATACTTACTGACCAGCAGCTGGACCTGAGAGAGACACACACATCAGCTCACTGAAGAACCAGACACACTTCATGACACTCGGCTCTGCTGAAGCCCAAAGTATAATTCAGTTTTTATTTGTACACTAGCGTATGTACAGTGTGTGTGACGGGAATTACATTATGAGTACTGTACACACACACACACACACACACAGTACCATCTCCGGGACCCAGTCTCCCTTGCGTTGGTTCATCAGAGACGAGAGCGTGTCGATCTTCGTCACGTTCCACTTTCTGACATCATCGGGTGTGGCCACGTGGGAGGCGGAGCCTAAAACCTGCAGCACCTCGTCAGACAGTCCGGCTGGATACGCCTGAGGGGTGGGACACACATGCGTCTCTATAGCAACACTGTGATTGACAGCAGGTACAGCAGTGTTCAGGTGAGTGTTTTACCTGGTTGAGTTTGTCCAGAATGATCCGCTGGTAGCTCCTGTCGTAAACTCTATCGGTCACGGCCTCCAGGTTGTCCTTCAGCGTTTGGACGCTCAGGCAGGCATTAAACTGTGGCACGTCATACGCAAACGGAAACATGTCGCTGTACACCTGAGCCTGCAGGATCTGTCCCACAGTACATGCTGTTTCTACAGGAGACCAGAGAAAAACACACAAATACAGCTTCAAAAATATTATACATGCTACTTTAATAATGCAGTGTGATTATACTAATGCTGTGGTCACGACAAAGTTTATAATCAACAATAATCAAGAATCATTTACTGACACTTTCACTTACAATATACAAGTACAGACCTAGAATCTGATCTAAACTTACACAGCCCTCAGAGAACAGATGCTGAGTTTCTGCTGCCTTGTTTTTTACTGTTTATATTTTATGCATTAAATTGATCAAAAGTGTCAATAAAAACATTGTTACAAAATATTTCTATTTCAATTAAATGGTGTTCTTTTGAACTTTTTGTTCATCTGTGAATCCTGAAAAATAAAATATGTCTCAGTTTCCACAAAAATATTGAGCAGCACAACTGTTTTCAACATTGATCATAATCAGAAATATTTCTTGAGCAGCAAATCAGCATATTATTATGATTTCTGAAGATGGCGGTGAGGTACAGCGGCAGGAGGTCCAGGCTCTCCAGCGTGGCTCTGTTCCAGCTGTCTGAGGGTCTGAGAGGAAGGTCTGCTGTCAGGCTGAGCTCATATAACGCACAGGAGATCAGTGTGACACGCATGTGTGTGTGTGTGTGTGAGTGTGTTTGTACCCGTAGCTGGTGTTTCCTCCCAGCAGGACGCTCTCCAGCGCAGAGATCTGCTCAGCTGATAGATCCACACACGGCTTGAGCTTCTCCAGCACATACGGGTCCGAGCTCTGGATGTACTCGCCGCTCAGAAAACAGCTCATGCTGCCCAAAACATCCAGCTGATCCCGACTGATGCTGACGCCTGAGATTCCCTGAAACACAGACCACAGCAACATCTGTCAAACTCCACCAGACAAACACTTCGATCATCCTGAAAACATTCTCATCTAATTGAAGTTGTGAAGTTTTTGCTTTCTAGACAAACACACCCAAATATATTTAGACCTAAATAATTGCATATAAACTTTCAAGAGTTTCAACAAAAACAAACGATTAAACATTCTCATGCATATTTGTCAGTCATTCCAGTGTTTTAGTATCATTGATACGTTTTTTATATTTTCTGTTTACATTTTAATTTTAGTTCATGTTTTAATAATTGTGTTGTGTTGTCATTCTTATTAGCTTATTATATATATTTATAGCTATTTTAGTACTTCAAGGTAAACTAAAAGAAAATGACAAGTGATGTCATGGCAACTAGCCGAAATAACTTTATTATATATGTATGTAATAAGTCATTAAATTGTTTAGTAACAATTTTAATGGGTTTAGTTTAAATTTTTGTTTGAGCTAAAGATAAACCTAAGTGGTACATAAATAAAACAGGTCGGATTTCTGTCATAGTACTAATAAACTGTGATAAAATAATATTGACTAAATATATTGTAGAAACTTTTTGTAATTTTCTGTAAAGTTTGTATTCGTTTTGTATCGATATAGATATAGATTTATAGATATAGACAAATATAGATTTGTATCGTGAAAAGCACTATACAAATAAACTTGAATTGAATTGAATAAAATGTGTTTTAGATACACAATAACCAGGTTTATATATTTATCATCAATAAATCCAATTAGTTTCAATCTCATACAAGGTCCCATTAGTTAACATTTGTTAATGCATTAACTAACCATGAGCAATACATTTGTTACAGTATTTATTCACCTTTGTTAGTGTTAGCTAATAAAAACGCAGCTGTTCATTGTTAGTTCATGCATGCACAGGTCCAATAAACACCACTTCTGATTTTAATAAAAGTTTAAATGTTACTAAAAATTAAAATGAACTTTAAATAAGACTAATACATGCCTCATGTAGTTAATTCATGTTGAGTGATGCAGTTAACTAATGTTAACCTCATTATAAAATGTTACCATTTTAACTTTGATTTTACAATGAATAGATTTATGATGATTCTAAGCAACTGAATTAATGCATTCTGAAAATGATTATAAAATCAGATAGATGCAAACAGTTAATAATGAACTACGGCATGATGCTTTGAGTATTTAATTATTTTATGTTAAAACCTGCAGGATCCAAATGCATGGGAATTGTATATGCATTTTAAATACCTAAATGTTCAATTTAAGCCCAAATCCTTTTTTGAGCAGATAAATGATTATAAGAACTCAAACGTAAGAGTGTTTTCATTACAAGACAGCCCCTGGCGTGGTTGAAGAGCGTCTGCTTCTTGAAGGACAGTGTGCTGGACAGAACAGAGAAGTCGGCCGCTCCCAGAGACAAGAAATACGAGCGGCACAGAGATCTGTCGATCATCGAGTAGCTGAAACACAGACAGACACACACGTGACTCGCTCGTCTTCATGTCACTGCGACTGACAGCGTGAGCTGAACTGAGTGTGTGTGTGTGTTTTCAGACGCACTTGTAATAGATGAGGACTTCAGCGGGATACTGGGAGAAGGCAGAGAGATCGGCGCTCTTGATGTAGTGATGCATGCAGGTCAGCTGAAGGGGAAGCACACATCAACACACTCATGAACACACTCACGCTCATCTGACTGATGCACACCTCATCTCTTCAAATGTGAATAAAACATCAAACCCACAATTAGGATGAAAATCAGCCTATTAAATCTACTGTATTATATCTGATCCAAGAATGTCTAAATGATCAACATGTTTTTGCTGTTAAAGGAACACTCAACTATTTTTGAAAATAGGCTCGTTTTCCAACTCCCCTAGAGTTAAACAGTAGAGTTTTACCGTTTTCGAATCCATTCAGCCGATCTCCGGGTCTGGCGGGAGCGCTTTTAGCTTAGCTTAGCATAGATCATTGAATCTGATTAGACCGTTAGCATCTCGCTCAAAAATGACCAAAGAGTTTCTATATTTTTCCTATTTAAAACTTGACTCTTCTGTAGTTACATCGTGTACCAAGACCAACGGAAAATGAAGGGTTGCGTCGGTCTTAGTACACGATGTAACTACAGAAGAGTCCGAAAACGGTAAAACTCAACTGTTTAACTCTAGGGGAGTTGGAAAACGAGCCTATTTTCAAAAATAGTGGAGTGTTTATTTAAAGCTGTTTCACACACAATCTCCTGCATGTCTTCTGTCGTCTGACCGATAGTTTAGAGTGTTTTATCCCATCAACGCTCTTTTAGTGTATTTGTACAAACGTCCAGCTTCACGTGTCTTTCTCCTGTCAAATCTTGACTGATTTTATCAAGCAAACATTAGAATAGCTTTGATATTGTTAGTAATATTTCCGGATGAACACATGATTTGTTTTGTGTTCTCAGTACAAATTTCCATCCTGACCTTTTGCATAATTTCTTTAAACGAGTTAAAGCCACTTCCTGAATGACATCACCCTCCAGGAAATGTCTTGGTTTTGGAGGGAAACAGCAGCACAGACATCAGCATTATTAATAGATCTGATGGATTCTGTGTTTTGTTGATGTTGAATTTGAAAATACCAACATTTGAAAATGATACCAAATTTTTTCTTTGATTTCTTTGGGTTTGATGTCGACCAGAGCTGATTTGTGGAAGTCTATTATTTTATAAAGGTTTCATGAGGTTCTGCAGAACATGAAGGAGCATCATAACATAAATGACAAAACAAGCAACAAAAGTCTGTGACTGATGTGCTTGTTCACCTGTGACTCCTGCAGGACGAGCGTCTGATTGACTCGTCGTCTGCAGCCGCGGATCAGACTCAGGACTTTACTAGTGCTGAAGCTCTGGATTCGTGAACAGGTGAAGCCCTGCAGCACCTGGAAGGACATGCTACACACACACACACACACACACACACACACACACACACACACACACACACACACACACACACACACACACGTGTTAACATGGTCAAAACTTAATCATCTAATCTGACTAATAACTCTCTTCACTCACTCATCTGGATTGCTGAACTGTGCAGTGACGGTTTCAAAGATCAGAACAGCCTGAGAGGAAGAGAAATTCAACCATTTATATATATATATATATATATATAATAGCATGTTTTATTGCAGATGCCCGACGCACCTGCTCGTGTTTCCATTTCTTCCGGTTGACCGCCTGCGCAGCCGCGGATGACTGCGGCACATCCAGCAGGAAGATGCGCGGGATTTCTGTCGCCATGAGGTCAGGAACGTTTGTGATGATGGCATCAGATGAGCTGTTGACAGCAATGATCTGAAGAGAGACAGAGAGAGATGTCACGAGACATGCTGAGCTGAACCGGAGCCTTGTGAATGTAAGCGAGAGTCACCTGGCTGACAATGGTCTGCTGGACAATCACAGGTGCGCCGATGACACTGGTCACGAACAGTTCAGATTTCACTGCCTCAAGGAAGATTTCTCCTGAGATTACTCTGAAGATTGATGATTGAACACCGATGATCAGCGAACCCAAATCCAGCAGACTGGCCACACTATTAATCTGCCACAGACACAGACGTGTGTTAGTACATCCAACATTATACAACAGATAGTTTCCATACGAATTTAACTGGCAGAGCTGTCTGTGAGCGAGTCAATGAATCACTGGTTTGTTCAACAACACTGATTCACTTAGGAATTAAGCAAGTGACTGTCTTTATGAGTGAGCCAATGAATCTTTGATTCAACAATACGTTTAACACTGATCCATTTCAGGAACGTAAAAAAAAGTCTTTATGATTGAATGAGTATTTGATTCAGCAACATTCATTCAGGAATGAAACGCCACTCAGAGACACGTAAGGTGTTGATTTGTTTGGCTTTGAATCGGTATTGGTGGTGTGTACCTGGTAAACTCCAGATGACAGCAGGGTTTGGATGATCATCATGGCCTGATCGAGGTTCCAGCCCAGTACGAGTCTGAGCACAGAAAGCGTGTTGAGCAGCACGTTCCCTCCGGCACCGCTGATCTGAGCTGTGCTCAAACCCGTGGACGACTGACCCAGAGCCTTGATGGTGTCCACCGTCAGAACCTCCGCGTTACTCGCCAGAGCCGCCGACACCTGCGCGCACACACACACACACACACACACACACACGTCTAGCTTATACAGAGCTTACTTCTGCTGACGTAAACACACACAAACACTCCTGTACGTACTTCAGGTAGAACATCTGTGCAGTTCTGATGGATGCTGGATGAGATGATCTTCAGCTGCTCCGGACTCAGCTGAAGGAAGGAGCTCGCAGGAGCCAAGCAGCGGAACTTCAGAGGAAGACTATAAACACAAGCAAACATTAACCAGCCTTGATCTATTGTTTAGATGGTCCAACAAACGAGTGGCCAAAACCATCAAACCAGCCTTTTCAGAGGGGATTTTTCAAATGATAGTATTGCAAATAAGTGTGTTGTGTGAGATTTGAACTAGCCTTCATTTGATGAAAGCGGCTCATGCTGGATTTAAATGACTTTGACTTTTCATGTACACTATTAAAACTTAAGGTTTTTTATTGGCATTGTTCCATGAAGAACCTTTAACATCCATGGAATCCTTCCATCGCACAAAAGATTCTTTATAATGGAAAAAAGGTTCTTAAAATATTCTTCACACTAAGTAAAGAGTTCTGTTAAGAACTGTTCACTGAAAGTTTCTTCTAAATGGCTTCACTGTGAGAACCCGCTTTTGGAAGCTTTATTTTTAAGAGTGTAGTTCAGTAAGATGTGATTAAGATTGGTTATTGAGAGTGTTGCTGGTGTCTCTCACTAGTAGGCGCTGAAGGACGGATTCATCTCGAATAGCAGAGTCACGTAGTGCTCCATCACGTCATCAGGAACACTGGTCTGAGCGAAGAGCTGCAGGTTATCCAGGTTCACGAGGAACGGCTGAAAAACAAACACGTTTTTGAGTTTGGAACGACATGAGGGTGAAGATGAACTATTCCGTTAAGAGCGAATGGATACCGATGACAGAAAACAGATCTGAGCTCTTCAAGACGTAGCTTGACACACCTGAATTGAGCCAAACTGGAGGAGGTCGTCCAGTGTGATGAAGCTCAAGAAGACGGAGATGTAGTCTGCGAACCAGGTGGTGGAGTTGAGATCCGGGTTGGAGGTGTTATAGCATTTAGGAGTTGAACCTGAAGCTGAGAACACAAAGACAAACACGGCTCACCATCAGACAAATCCTCATTGTTATTAGACATCAGAATCAGTCACGCAGTCGATCAAAGTAACTCACAGGTGTTGAGGTAGACCAGGATGGAACCGTAGATGTCGCTCGGAGAAAACTCGGCTGCACTGTAGTTGTATTTAGCCATCGCTGAAACACTAAACAGAGAAACGCACAGAATCCGTCATCATTAGATGTCTTTAAAGGAAAACTAATTGGTCCAATATGATTCTAGCGTCATTTTGAACAAAATCAGGCCAAAATGAAGTTTATTTGGAGTTTGTTTCTGACTTTGAAACGTTTTAGCCCTAAGCAAAGAACTAAGTCTTTATGCTACTGAAACATATAGTTAAGGTACAGTCACATTAACCATTGCTCTGCGAAATCAATCCATTCATTCTATTAGGAGTCTGTGTGACAGGGAGTTTCATGCTGGTCACTCACAATTACCAACAGAAAGCTGCTTGGGTTGAGAGGGACTTCTGTGTGAGCTGTGCTTCATCCTGTACATCGCTACCCTACTAAGAATAGACAATGGACCTTTTTTGTCAGCAAAGTCTCTCCAGAATTTCTCTACTGTGACCGCACTTTAGGCCTATTTGTTAGATTCTCCCCAACACAACGTAATGTGTGAAACGTGCTACTCACAACTTCTTGAAGGAGAGACAGGAGGCGTTTAGCATGACGTCTGGAGCGATGAACTGTGAGGTGAGGAGAGGCAGGTACTGAACCAGTCGATGATCAAACCACTGATTCACTTCAGACTGGACGTCCACCTTCAGAACCTGAGGCCAGATGCAGGACAACACCTGCCAGGCCAAACCCACGGGCAACAGCGGCTCCTGCGGCACACACAGAGAGATGCTTCTTCATTTACTGCAACCACGTCACAATTAGGACTATGAACCGGTGCTGCTTTGGCCATTTCACAGTAAATGAGAGTAATTCAGAAGCTGCTAAACAAGCAGCTAATATAAGATTATCAGAACCAGATATGATCAGATTTAAATCTAGAGGGTCATTGCATTAGTTTGTAAGTTTTTAAAAGAGTGAAAGATGTCCGTACCGTCTGTAAGTACTGGGGCGTCTTTGGGTAGATTCTGAAAAGCTGGCAGATTTGGGCAACATCGTCCACAGCGTTGGGCCAGTTCAGGAGACTGCTGACCTCCGCTGGAGACACCGACTCCATCAGCTGTGAGGAGACACACATGTCCAACAACAGCAGAACTTACAATACGAAGCGTTAAAGGTGCGCTTCGTGATTTGCTGCACATTTGAAATGTTATTCTCTAAAGCAATGGTTCTCAATCTTTTTGACTCCCATTCAGAGGCTTCCCTTTAATTCTAATCTATGGACTGTTAAGTCATCTTATTGAGAACCACTGATTTACAGAAATGACCATAACCTTCAGCTATTGTCTCATTCATGGACTCTATCATTGGATCTAATCAGTAATCGGCAGATGGAGGCGGTCTGGCGTCTCTGACCTCTGGCACGCGAGCCGGCGGCATCAGCGACAGGAAGGTGGTCAGATTGGGGAACTGGAAGCTCATGAAGGAGGACGTCAGGAAAGCGTAGTAGCTCTGGTTAGCATAGCAGCGCAGCGGGGCGGGGCCTGTGGAGACAGAAGGATGCTGGGTGAGTGGATGGAGTGATGAATACATGTATAGATGGACGGATGGATGGACACCTGTGAGAGAGCCGAGGATCAGCTGGTAGATCTGATCTTGTGTCGCCGGCTGGAAGGTGGAGCTGGACAAGTTCAACAGCTGCACCCTGGAAGATTACGCCTGCTGGCTGATGGGACAGGGTCGCTGCAGGACGACGCTGAAGTAGGACGTCACATGTTGGACGGTGATGTTGGCTATGAAGGACGGCAGTATGTTCAGGATCCAGGTTTGCAGATCAGCGTCTGATGACGTGGTCAGATTGGCCCTGTTAAACACCTGCTGCAGAAACACCTCCTGCACGGGGGATGGGAGAACAACGCCCTGCATCTGACAAGACAGAGACCACAGCCAATCAGAACACAGAAACACCTCAGACAGCCAATCAGATCACAGATAATCCACAAACGGCCAATCAGAACCCAGATACTTCACAAACGAATAATCAGAATACAACACTTCACAAACAGCCAATCAGATGAGATACACCCCAAATGCACACTCGGATCTAGGGCCGAAACTAACGATTATTTTGATAATCAGTTAGTTAACTGGACAATTGATTCTTTGAATAATCGATTGATTGGATAAAATCCATATTACTTAATTTCATTTATTGTGGAAAAAACATGTCATTCCACATTCATGCAGCACAAATGACACAGAACTATGTCTTCAAATGAATGATTCTTTTTTAAACAGTTAATTGGACTATTGTTTCTGCATAATAATAAATTAATTGGATAAAAGGCGAATTTTTTTTTCATTTACTGGAAAAACAAACAAACATGTTATTCCACATTTATGCACTACAAATTGCGAATCAGAGCTAGGGCTGCAACTAATGATTATTTTGATAATCGATTAATCGACCAGTTGCATCTGTGAATAATCTACTAATTGGATAAAAAGACAGATTTTATTTTCTTTATTTTATTGAAAAAAAACAAAAACATGTTAATCCACATTCATGCAGCACAAATGGCTGTTCAGAACTAGATCTGCAACGTTTCTTTTTGATAATCGATTGTTTGGCCAATCAGAACCCAGATACACCACATGCAGCCAATCAGAGAGCAGAGCATCTGAGCTGTGACTGGCTGAGAATATCCATGTTCCATGATGAATAGTATTGGTCAGGGGAATGTGTGTGTGTGTGTCACCTGTAGCGTAGCGGAGAGGGATAAGAAGAACGCTGTGAACTGAGCGTCCGGCACGTAGAGCAGCAGATTATTAACCGCAGCAGCACTGGACAGGAATCCAGGAGTGCTGGAAACCTCCACTAACTGCCTCAGGCTCAACAGACTCAGAGTGTCCAACTGCACACACACACAGAGGAGCACGTCAACACACGCATCTGTACAAGCCAAGTGTGTGTGTGTGTGTGTGTGTGTGTGTGTGTTCATACCACACTGAAGCTGGGGTTGAACGTCTGCAGGTCGGTGACTGTGGTGAAAACAGAGAAACGTCCAAAGCTGCTGATCAGCCAATCAGAGCTGCTCTGAGAGACGTTCACACACCCTAAACACAGAGCAACACGTCACAGCTGAGCATTCGCTACAGATCCCTGTGTGTGTGTGTGTGTGGGTGTGTGTGTGTGTCCAACCTGCAGTGCTGTTCTGAGAGAGGAAGACTTTGATGAAGTCAACGTAGACATTAGCTTGTGTATCGGTGGACATGATGTCAAAACTCTGACTGAAGCTCTCGACACTGTGAAAGAGACCAAATCTCAGAGATGCATCAACATATGACGTGTGTGTGTGTGTGTGTGTGTAACTCACACACTCCTGTAGGTGTCACAGCTGAAGTCTCTGGTGGACAGACAGGACAGGAATGTCTCGGAGGCGTAGGGTAAAAATGGGCGGAGCCTGGAGTCAAACCAGCGCTGAATGAACGAATCATCTCTCAGATTGGTGGAGCTGAAGGAGCTCAGAGTGACTTCTCCAATCACATTCAAGAATGACACAGTGGGGCGGGACTTATTCAACCTCTGACACACACACACACAGTTCAATGTTACTTTCTCGTTTCCTTTGCATTCACAAAAATGACGTCTTAGTGTTGAACAAAATGCATGAAAAAAGATGCATTTCAAATGTATCTGGATTGATGTAGATGTAGCCTGAATTGCATATAATTGGACAGAGGCGACAGTGCTGTCGTGTACCGTGTGGGCGAGCAGGTCGAGCGCTGGTCCCAGCACAGGGTTGACCTTCTGCGTGAAGAGTTTCCACGCCTCCTCGGACACGCTCTCATTCCCGTTGAGACCGCATGACAACACCGTCGCCAGGTGCTGCGAGCTCAGATCTGTCAACTGAACACACACACACTAAACAAATGTTTACAGAGACAGAGTGTGTGTGTTCACACGGTGAGCGTGATTTGACCAAGTACAACATGTTCCTGGATCAACATTCCAATCAACCAATCAGAATTGAGAGATAACTTTTCAGGAAATGTCAGTTTTAGGCTTGTTAATCAGCTATCATTTCCCTCTGATTTTAGGAATAAATTATGGGTAAGGTTAGGTTTAGGGGTAGGGATTGGGTTAAGTCTGTATTTTGGACAGTAATGTTGATCCAGGAACATGTCTTACTTGTCCACACGTACACGGCGACCGTGTTCACACGTCTGTGTACGGTGTGTTTCACGTACCTCTGCACAAGCGTACTGTGTGATGCTGAAGTCACAGAGCCGACTGCCATCATGAGACGAGCCGAGATAAGCCGACAGACCAGAGCTGTAACACACACACACACACACTTACTTATGAGTATGACAGGTACACTTCAAACAGCCGATCAGAACACAGATATTCCGCAGATGGCCAATCAGAACTAGGGCTGACTAATGATTATGTTAATAATCGATTAATCGGCCAATTGTTTCTGCAAATAATCAATTGAAAGCATGGCTCTTTTGAGTTTTTTGCTCTGAGAAATCATCTGAAGATTATTGAAGTTGTTTCACCTGTTGCTGCTCCTGCAAACTGTTGTTTCTGAGAGAGAGACAGAGAGAGAGAGACATCCGTCAGCTCACATAGCACACGATTACAGACAGAAATAACCAAACTAAACAAACAGGCCACTCAGAGATGATCACTAACCGTTCACTGGTGTGACGCCACACTGGAAGAGACAGAAGAGACACTTGTGAGCATCACATGAACTTAAATCATCAGCATGCTTTTAAAAAGAGTACTGATTATGCAAATAATGTAATTCAAATAACATACTTAAGTGCAAAGTCAATGCAATGTTTTCAGAAACTTACGTACTTGTGTAACAATGTACCTGCAGGTTATTTCCAATTAAATGAAAATGCATTACAGTTTAAATTTCTATTAAATGCACTAGTTGAACTTAAGTGTACTTTTTGACCCACTTAAATGCATCTTTATATGTAGTTTCATTATTACTTTCACTGTCTTTGAAATATTGTTAAAGAACTGCTGAATTTATGATAAACTAAAATACAATTCAATGTCATTTCCATTCAAACTTGTGTTCATATATTTAAATATATTTGTAATGATGAAGCTGCAATTAGTTAAATTAAATAACACAAAAATTACAATCCAGTACTTTACAAGTGCTTTAGCATGTTAGTCAGCACATCAAAATAAGTGTACTTCTTTAAAACACGACAAAAGATTATTAAAACATAGTGACTTGAAATGCCCTTTTAAATGTACTGTAAGTTTTAGTTTACAAATTAAAAGTTTAAAAGTGTACTTAAGTGTGTCGAGAAACATAGTCTTGAAATTGTCTCTCTTTAAGTACAGTCTTTTTAAATAGACTTTTAAGACTTGAAGTACACTACAAGTGCACATTCAATACAATAAAGCACTTAAAGTCTTTTTCACCAGGGCACCTTCAACACTCACCTGTCCGCTGGAGCTCACACAACCTGAGACAGAGAGAGAGAGACTCATGAGCGTGCCGTGTGTGTGTGAGTGTGAGTGTGAGTGTGTG